TGGCTAATTATTTACCCAGAGTCTGTTCGTGATGTTATTTCAATTCCTTTAAACATCAGTTTAGCCGTAAAACACAACACCGCCTTGTTTGAAAAACATATTAACTGCTTCCACTGATCCAACAAAGACGCAGCCTGTATAGAAAAACTGTGGCTAATTATTTACCCAGAGTTTGTTCGTGATGTTATCTTAATTCCTCTAAACACAAATTTAGCCGTAAAACACAACACAGCCTGGTTTGAAAAACATATTAACTGTTTCCACTGATCCAACAAAGATGCACCCTGTAGAGAAAAACTGGCTAATTATTTACCCAGAGTGTGTTACGTGATGTTATTTCATCCCCTCTAAACATCAATTCAGCACCATTTAGCCGTAAAACAAAACAACATTAACTGTTTCCCATAACATCCCACTCATCCAACAAAGATGCACCCTGTTAGGAAAGACAATGGCTAATTACCTGTTGATTGGTTGTTCGTAGTGTAGTACAATTAGCAACAGTTGGCGGTAAAACACAACAATGCTTAGTTTAAAGAAGATATGAACTGTTTCTAGTAACATCCGAATGATGCAACAAAGATGCACCCTGTAAAGAAAAGAGGTGGCTAATTATTTACCGAGAGTTTGTCCCTAATGTTATTTCATTCCATTTCCAATAACATTCCACTCATTCAACATAGATACACCCCTGTAAGGAGAGACAATGCCTAATCATCTGCTAGTTGGTTGTCCGAAGTAATATATATATTAGAATTTCCCCTCAACATTTATGTAGCCCGAGTTGGCCGTAAAACACGATAATGCCCAGTTTGAAAGAAGATGTGAACTGTCTCTAATAACATCCGAATGATCCAACAAAGATGCACCCCTGTAAAGAAGAGAGGGGCTAATTATTTACCAAGAGTTTTTCCGTGATCTCATTCCATTCCCTCCAAACATTAATTCGGCTCCATTTAGCCGTAAAACAAAACAAAGCCTCGCTTGAATAAAATATTAACTGTTTCCAAAGGCATCCCACTGATTCAACAGAGATGCACCTCTGTAAAGAAAGAAAATGACTGACTATCTGTCAATAGTTTGGCCGCAGTGTTATTAAATTTCCTATAAACATCATTTCAGCTCCAGTTGGCCGTAAAACACAACAACACCCCCTTTAAAAAATGATGAACTGCTTCCCATAGCACTCCATTGATCCAACAAAGATGCACCTGCGAGGTATTCCCCTTTGAGGAAAGACAGTGGCTAATTATCTCCTATGTGGTTGTCCGTGAAATAATATAACTCCCTCCAAGAGAATATTACTCCCTCTTAACATCCTGTCAGTTTTAGTTGGCCGTTGGCAACCTACTATTGGCAATAATGCTTCACACCCTAAAAAAAGACTAAACGGAGACAGTTAAAGAAACAACGTGTACTTCTAACTAGGTATGTGTATCATGTTTTCGTAGTTTGTTATAAAATAACTCTTTTCAAATGAAAACTAAAAGTAGCATTTTATTGTCCACGAAATTTTTAATGATGAAACTGGACGGATCGCTAAAGAGATGAATCTGACGATGTAAAGAAGGACTTTAAAATGAACTACTAAAATAACTGTGTGTTGCGAGTATATTCTTTCATCGAGAGAAAGATTGTTTGATTCATCAATTTTCTTTCTTAAAATCATCTACAAGCAGTCAAAAATGCATTTTTTTACACAGTTCCCCATCCTTTCCCGCAAACTGATCGTCAGCAAGAAAGACTAAAAAAAGAGAGGGTGGAAAGGCGGATTTTAAAGCAAAAAAAATTCATTTTTGTTCAATTACCCAAATGGGAATTTTCTCCAAAATAATATTAAACAGGTTTTTCTTTCTTTCTTTTTTTGTGAAATTTTGATGCTGTAAGTCTGTCCTGGCTTAATCGCAAGATTACTAGGTACGTTTTTATTTAGATATTTGTTTATCACTT